AGAGAGGAATGATCCATTTACTCCAAGAGTAAGTCTACGTAAACTTATTCCGTTCAATAACTTATGTTCTACATCAAATTTCAACGATCCAACCGTTGAATTTAAAGTTCTTAATGCATAAATCAAATATGTAAATTTTAAAAAAATTTGAAAACCATTTTATACTTTGTTTCATTAATTAAAATCAATGTATAAAAAAATTTTATGATTATTTATCAATTTGAATTAATGAAATGAAGTATCAAATAATTTTCAATTTTTTTAAAAATTTGCATACTTACTCTATATATTAAAAACTTTAAATTCAACTGTTAGATCATTGAAACTTGATGTAGAACATGAGTTATTGAATGGAGTAAGTCTAGGTAGACTTACTCCAAGAGTAACTGGATTCCTCCTCATATATATAAATCCATTTGATAACTTATAGCGCATGTTGAATTTCAATAATCCATTCATTAAATTAAAGGTTCTTAATGTATAAATCAAATATATAAACTTAAAAAAATAATTTTTTGTTAATTCAAATTTCCAAATAATTATAAAAACATTTTAGAATTTATATATAATAAAGTATCATATAATTTTTTTCAAAAAATTAACAGTTGGATCATTAAAATTCAACATATACCATAAGTTGTTGATTGAAGTAACTCTTAGAAAAAATTAATCTCTTATATATATATATATATATAATGTACTCATAAAAGACGGTGTTTTTTATTCTTCGTCATCTCTTTGACGCCTGCATCCTACGTATTTTACTAGAATTCTCTTCATGTTTTTTCCTTATTTTATATATACAAATTGATCGTATATTCACATGTTCTATATCTTTAGGTGCAGAGAACGCTATTTAAATTTTAGTAGCAATCATGTCTTATATAGTAATATTAATATTTTTATAATTTATTTGATATAAATATTCTGTATATTTTTATTAGATATGATATGTATTATTTAATTATAATTAAATATTGATTGTTAAATATGATTATTATAAATTTTAGTTAAATATAATATTTATTTGCAACAATATATATATTTATATATATATATATATAGGGAGCATATCAGGTGCGAGAGAATTTATTATGAGAGATGAGAGGGTTAAAATATATATAACCCTTAGATTAATTTCCTCTCACTTGATTAAATCCCAAATTTTCTCTCACTTGATTAATTTAAGGGTTATATTTTAACCCTCTCATCTTTCTTAATAAATTTCCTCTCACTTGATATGTTCTATACAGGGAGCATATCAAGTAAGAGGAAATTTGGGATTTAATCAAGTGAGAGAAAATTAATCTAAGGATTATATTTTAACCCTTTCATCTCTCATAATAAGGTAAATTCTCTGAAAGACCACTTTCACAAGTGGCCCATGGGTGCATCATCAGTTTTCACCCTTAGATGCATCTAAACTAGTAGACCATAATACACCTGATCACACTGGATCTAAATTTCTGATTTTTTTACTGAATTTTTTTTTTAAATTACCCAAAAAAAAAGAACACGTGTTAACTGACGCAACTGCTACTGACTCTCGGAACGGGCCGTTCTGAAATCAGAACGGGCCGTTTCAAATGAACAAATAACACATAAATATTGGACCAGAACGGGCCGTTCCAGATGAAAAAAAAAACACATGACGAAAGGAACGGAACGGCCCGTTCCAAAATCAGAACGGCCCGTTCCGAATTCAAACATGACACATCAATAATTAAAGCAAAACGGGCCGTTCTGCATTCGGAACGGCCCGTTCTAACTACAAATTTGTCACACGAATTTTTTTAAGCAAAATAATATATTTTTTCCATTATACTAAATTACATCTAAACCCTAAACCCTAAACCCAAAAAATCTTATACTAAGGTCCATAATACAAGACCAAACAATATAAACTCTTGTACTACCAAATATATAAGAAAGATGGTCATCCATGTAATAAGATCAAACATTATAAACTCATATACTACCAAATATATGAGAAAGGTGGTCAACCCACAAAAACAACAAAAGAATTACAAGAATTTCTTTACAAG